TTCAGACTACATTTTTAAAAATTAAAATACATGGATTGTCTTCATCGCAAACTCTTCCTGAATATTTCATGTGTTTTGTGCTTTATTTGCTGCGCATATCTTCACAGTGTGCGTATTATTCAAATATTCCTAACAGATGGTCTCAAGTGCTACATATTATATAGCATTAAATGAATAGCTTGGTAAACAAATGAGTCAAGGATTAAAATATTTTACAGCTTATAATTCATGAAAGATGTTCGACAACAGTACATTAATGAAAAAAATTCTTCAATGTAAACACAAAAACATTAAATGCAACTACTGGATCAGTCAACTGCTCATGACAAACGAACTATTTCTTTAAAAGAGGTATTTGTCCTGTATGGTCTCTTATAACCTGCATTAATCTGAGGTCGACAACTAGTTTCACAGTGAACCAGGCCTACTGTTTCCCTTCTCCATCCAACTCCCAGTTTTCTCTGCCATTTTCCCCCTTATTAATGCCTGCAAATCTAGGAAAGGAGATGAAACTCATTAATCAATTTGTTACTGTGTAGATTATCAGTAGCAAAATTTTGCTGAAAGAGGTTGAAACTATGGGTTCAAATTGAGGATTCCAAATTAGCTGTGGTTTTAATTATCTGTGCTCTCTAGTTTCTTAATACTAGGTTTGTACCATAGGCTAATCTAATGTTTGGCATTGAAGTTTTCATTGAGGCTTTGCATGATTAAAACAAGCAACAAACACAAAAGCAAATCAAACCCAACAACTTTTGCCTTGTTTAGATGCCTTTGAACTCATTCAGTGTCAATGTTCCAGACATTAGTACACTGAGGAATAAAAACCAGTAAAATACTCTCCCTATTGGATGTTCTCTTTCACCCCACTCTTATTTTAAATTACGTTATTTAATTGAATGCATAATGATCTTTTTCTAATCATTTAGGGTTTCTAACATTTGATGCAAGACCTAACAAGACTTTCCAATTTCATTCTAGATCTCCCTAGAAACAAAATCTCAACCCAGTTTTGACTGTGAAAAGAACATAAGCTTTTTAGTAAACAAGTTATTTGATGGGAGGCTGAGGCAGGTGGATCATTTGAGTTCAAGACCAGCCTGGCCAACGTGGTTAAACCCTGCCTCTACAAAAAATACAAAAATTAGCCAGGCACAATTTTTGGTGGCACAGGCCTGTAATCCCACCTATTTGGGAGGCTGAGGCAAGAGAATCGTTTGAACCTGGGAGGTAGAGGTTGCAGTAAGCTGAGATCGCGCCATTGCACTCCAGCCTGGGCGACAGAGTGAAACTCCATCTCAAAAAAAAAAAAAAAAAAGTATGCATTAAATAAAACCTCACACCTAAAGTCACAAGTGGGCTTCATTTGTTATCTTAAGGCATATATTTCAGGCATATATTGAAAACTTTATTCTCTCACACTCCCTATGTGGCTGCATTCTGGATTTCCTTTTCTACACTAGTATCTTTTACCTCAGTTTTGGCCTCTGTGAGGTTGAGAAAGATGCCCTCCTTAACCAAACTTTGCATAGTCAAGTCAGACCAATCGGATGACTATTCTGGCACTTTTACATTAAGGCCCATTGTGTATTTATTTCTTCTCAATCACAGTACCAAATCTTATTGCACAAACAAAACATGTATCAATAACCAACAATAATTATCATGTATCTACTCTGCATAGTGCATTGTACTTATCTTATGAACATTCTACCTATATGAAGTTTCATCATACAAGAGGTTTTTCTTTAAAATATAGTCATCGAAAAACTTTAAAAAAATCAGTTTATAAACAAATTGGCAAGGAAAGTTACATTAAGCCAAAAACAAAAAACAAAAAACAAAAAAACCTAAACAGTATGCTCCAAACTACATTAAACTAAGGGGGAAAAGAGTGGACAGGGTCCCTATCTCAATGGTTCCCAAATCTGAATATGCATTTGATCCACCTGGAGAGGGCTTGTGAAAATGACTTTTTGGGTCCTACCCTCAGCGTTTCTGATTCAGTAGGTCTGGGTAGGGCCTGAGAATTTGTATTCTAACAAGTTTCCAGGTGATGTCAACATTGCTGCCCTGGGGATGACACTGTGAGCACCAGTGTCAGGGCTGGGATCAAAAAGCATGAGTGAATTTTAAATAGCCGATGTAAAGATTGAACTATGAAATCAATGGCCATTATATTTTAATTCAAATATGTGTTTTATGCCCAAAAAGTCCCATGGAAATTTATTCACTTTCTATTACTGAAAATTGTCATACAATATATGTGATTTGACCTTAACACAGCACAATACACGTGCAGTGATCTTTGGGACACCAGTAATTTTTATACATTTTTACCAAAAAGGCAAGATCATAAGATATGGAAGAGTCACAACTACCACTAAACAGTATGTGACAGATCCCAGGATAACACAGGAAAACGCTTTAAACATTAGAGGCAGTGGCCCTCAGACTGGACCTCAGGTTACCTGCACTGTTCTCTGAAAAGTAACTGTAGTCAGGCTCAGAGACAGGTATACTGGAGAAAGTCTTTTTTAAATTACGTTTTAAAAAATTGTGGTGATAACATTTAGCATGAGATCTACACTCTTGACAAATTTTTAAGTGTCTAATATAGTATTGTTAACTACAGGCATAATGCTGTTCCGCAGATCTCTAGAATTTACTCATGGTGCTAAGTGAAATTTTATAACCATTGAATAGTTACTCTCTATTTCCTCCCTCAACACCAACTCCCCATCACCCCTGAGAAAGTCCTGGGCGGGTTGTTCTCAGTTTTACATATCACACACACCCCACATGCTCCTCAGCCAACCCAGTTTTTGATTAAACACAAAATCACTTGGGGAGGAAGTAAACAACAACCCTCCTCCAAACTTTTCTTACCATGATGACGATGATGATAACTGATGTTACATCAGAAATATTGACTCACTAAGAAGAGACTGCAGGCTGGGTGTGGTGGCTCACATAATCCCAGCACTTTGGGAGGCTGAGGCGGATGAATCACTTGAGTAAGGAGTTTGAGACCAGCCTGGCCAACATGGTGAACTCCTGTCTCTATTAAACATACAAAAATTAGCCAGGTGTGGTGGTGAGCACCTGTAATCCCAGCTACTCAGGAGGCTGAGGCAGAAGAATCGCTTGAACCTGGGAAGTGGAAGTTGCAGGGAGCCGAGATAGCCACTGCACTCCAGCCTGGGCGACAAGAGCAAAACTCCGTCTCAAAAAAAAAAGAAGAGATTGTAAACTGGTGGCCTTCAAATTTTTTTGGTTAAAAAGAAAACGAGTTAACTGCCAACATTTGGAAATCATATTTCACATAATCTGTATTATTTTCAGTTTCTCTAGAAAGATCAGGTTTAGCAATCTCGGACTTAAATTCATTTCCGAATGGCCACAATGAGCTGGAGCTGAACAGCTGTTGCTCCTTTTTAGTGGAAAAAAATGAGCTCTCCAGATTGCCACTGTCCTTGGTAATCCCTATTCTTTTACACTCCACCTGCCCTATCACCCACTGTACCTACCCACTGTACCTACCTGGCTCTGGAAATGTCTGAGTTTTTGCAATTCCTGCACTAAGGGTTGCAGCACAAATGAGAAAGTTTGCTGGGAACTGCACATAACCCCCAGTCTCACTCTCAACACACTTTTCCATCATTTGCCAGAGCATAAGAGAATGTAACACTATCATAGCAATAATCTTTACATTGTTCTAATTTATTTTAAAAAATCACACGCAAACTTTGGTACTAACGTTAATGACCAACCATACCATACCGTACGTCTGACCACAACACACCACAATTGAAATCCTCTCACAGAGAAATTTGATTTTGTGCTTCCTAGCATAAATTTGGCTTTTTAGTATGCCTCACAAATGATGAAACCACTGACCATTTAAGAATCAAATTTTAGGGTGCGAGGACTGTTTAAGATCAAAATTAAGCACTTTTAGTTCGTGTAATTATAGGTACATAAATACAAAATTAAATAATTCTTGTATTAACTGTATAATCATAAAAATATAAAAGTATGAAGTTGTGGTATGTAAAATTATTTGAGGAAAAGTGTCAAATGTTGGGCATTTAGGTCACAAGCCCTACATGAAAAATGGTCAACTTAACTGACTCATAATAGCCCTCTAATTCCAAATTACTCCAAATATTTTTGTCTCAGCAGAGTAAGGAAAAAGAAACGTGTATGCTGTGGGCAGGTGGAAAGAAGAATCTAAAGGAGATGTGCTGGGAGAAGTAGAGGGACAGGTTCAATGGGCCTCCAGAAGGGACTACAATTCCAGAACAGAAAGGTGTTCTGGCCTGCTGAGAAATCCCTTGTGCCAAATATGTATAACTTATGTCTAAGACTACATATGGTTCACATCCCGTAATCTAGAATACAACTGCCTAATACATTGCCATAAAAATGTACCCATACATTGGATGGAGAGGCATGCACTTAGACTGTTGTGTTGAGGGGACTGGAAGTGGCAACTATTAATGACTTCTGGTAGGAGCTGGAGGATAAGAAGTGGTGAGAAACGCTACCGGGTTTACCAACCCTATTCCACTTTCTTCAGTACCACAAAGGGTTTTCTTACATTTCCTCTGAAAGCTTGTGTATTCCCTACCTTACAGGGTTGTTGTGAGAAACAAATAAAAGCATAAATAGGAAGTACTTGGCATAGACCTTAGCCTGTATAACAATACTCAAATATCATTTCTACTAAATCGTAAGCTCCACCCCTATGAGGGATGTCTTATATGTAGTGGGCATCCACACACGTTGAAGAATGTTCACTTGAACTTAAAACCTATCTTTTGAATGACTTTTCAGAACTATTTTCATAGTAAAATAAGTTTGTAAGTCTTACAGAATATGTGCTACAATACACCAAATAAGAGGCATCCTAGGTATTTATTAAAAGACAAGGAGGACTTATATATAAATCCATTATGGTAACACCATTGTATCTGCAATAAATGTTGACAACTGAATTAAGTTTAAACACTTTAATCAACTATTAGTCAATAATCATATATTATATAAAAATTCTGATTCATGCATCAGATTACATAAATTATACAATTGTCACATTATACAATGCTTACATACTTTTGAATTTGTACCTGCAAAAATGTATACAAGTTATGAGAGCATTTACTTAAGAAGATAAGTGTCATACTCTTCAGTTATAAATAATGCTTCTATCTTTCAAATACCTGCTAAATATATGCATTTCTAGATCTGCAGCATTTTTTTGTACCTCAAAACACAAACCATCTGGAAGCTTCGAAGATTAACAGGCCCACATGTATCATTTACCAGACTTCAACTCCACCGTGAGAGTGCATTTTTTGATGGATAAAATAAATGGAATAAAACATCAACTCTAGTTAATGCTTGAAGAGCTTCTACACCTTTTATTAAATATATGAGAAAATGCTTCATATGCAGATTAATTAGCTAAGGTGCTACCAATTGCATATTAAATACTTTCAATGATTGCATCTGGATTATTAAAGTTCTACATCTGTGCAAATGGGGGCTTTCCATGTGTGCTGACAGACCCTTCTACATACCATCATGGCCCAGCAGCACTGTGATCCTTTCCCTTACTTCAAAGAGACCAAGTGAATGAGCATGCATCATACTTCACTTACACATACACACAAGTGACACCTACCACCTATAAGACATATGAGTATATGAACATCAAAAAAGTTTCAGCTTGATTTACAAATCCAAGGTAGATTGCTTTTTCTGAAAAGCTACAGAGGAAAATAAAAGATCTAGTGTAACATTTACTGTAGATATATTAGACAACAGTTTTTATTTTTATTTATTTTTAGATTCTCTTTGTTAAAGAATAAGCACCCTTCCGGGGATGGTAGGCAGGGAGGCATGGTGGTGAGGGAGTTGCTGGAGGAGTAACATGAAGAAAGCAAGTCTGTCACTAATGAGCTTAGTTTTACTTAGGTTTCCATTCATGAAACCCTTTTAAATACAAGGCAACATTTTCACAGCTGGAAAATTACAACTAAATCTTGATTTACCGCCAAAAGCAATAGATGTAGTTATGTATAATCTATGGATAATACTACATTCAAGGGACAATGGCAAAACTAGGCTCAATGCAGAACATAGCAGCAAAAAGCAATACTTAAAAGTTTTTCATGAATGGGTTACATGTTGTTTTATATACAATTCTAAGATATGACCCTGGTATTCAATAAATGAAACTTGAAGCATAAGTGGTAGGAAGGTATGTTCAATATTTTTAAAGCTGAATTTTAGAACTGGTTATAAAATAATACTGCTTTAAAAATAATAGCAGAAATAGTTTAATTATGTAACAGAAGTACGTTAGCTTAAGATAGGCTTGAGATAAATATCAATTCTGTGATTTTAAAAAATCCTCTTGGTGGCAGAAGTATTTTGGGCATGCACTCTTTTAAGCATAAAAGCAAAAATAAACTCTATAATGTAGTGTACTGTGCATTATTTAATAAGCACACATATTTTATTTCCATTTCTAAGCAACTAACAAAATACATCATTAGAATACCTAAAGTTACATTTTGGAAAAATAGACTAAGGTGACCTTTTTGGCCTCTTTTTCTACAATGCGACAAATTGAAACTACTTTGCACTTCTGCCCAAACATGGGAAATATTGATATATTTACTTGGGAACTCATTTTTACTTTTTGTTTTTAGTTTATTATTTTGACTGATTATGAAAATATGTAGTGAGTTTACTCTAGATAATGAGTGAAAATTCATAAACATTAGAACAGCAAAGTTTCAGGCAGTGATGAATGTTTTAACAGATCCAGTTTTAAATATAATACTTGTCTCAGATTTAAAGATAAAAATTTTGATTGAGTTATAACCAAATCACTCATGTATGAACAAAGCTAAGCCTCAATAGCTTTTATACAGGAAAAGAATCGCTCCTTAAAAATCTATTTCCCCATAAAAAGAAGAGCAGTACTTGAACCATACTTTTAAATGAGCTCTATTTATGTAAAACATATCCCCAGTACAAAACTGACATCTTGGTTCACTCTATAAACACCAAATTTGGCCAAAGCATATTATTATAGTATCTGCAGATACTGTCGTAATACTGAAAACATAAATTTTGGCATTTTAAGAAGTGTATGGAAAGACTCAATAATGCTACCAGAAAAAAACAAATGCTGAGAATTTTGCAACATTTAGTTAATTAAAAGTGGCACCATGTTAAAAACAAAAACAAAAACAAAAACAAAAACAAAAAACTACCAAGACCTCAAATGGGAAAATACCATTCTATACCAGATTTTGAGGTTTATTACAGAATTTTTAGTGAAGAAAAAAACTGATAAAAGCTATTTTTCCCTCTCCATTTCTTAAAGCATTAATTTTTATGAAAAAAATGTTCATAATTTCAAAATGCATGTTCTTACATTAAAACTGAAATGCAGAAGATACAAATAATAAGTTTAGTTTACAAATACGAGCTTGGCCAAGTATTCTCTGATTCAAAACACTAAAATAAGCCAAAAAAAACCCCAAACCCCAAACTATTATATCGGCTTTTTATTTAACTTTCAATGGAGTCTTAACAGAGATGAGTATTAGAAAAAAATGCAATTCATGGAAAGATTGGGGAATATGTCAGTCTTCAAACGGAGATGAATTTTTCATTTTAAATTCAGAAAGACACAGATACTCTCAGTGTTTTATAGTATTTCAGACTTTTAAGGCTGAAAAATAAGCAGAAGATTAGCAATATTTTTATAACATTGCTTTTCAATTTAAATTTCAGAAAAAAATTGTACAAATCATATAAAAATAATCCATGGAAGAAATCAACATTTTGGGGGACTGGACTTTAAAACAGAACACAATTTTATAATAAATCAATTCTTAAAGGGTGGATGTGGAGTAATGCATAATGCCACGCTAGTAAAGGTCTATTCTAAAAACTCACTCTTCCTTTAGTAAGTCTTATTTTGGTTCAAGACCCAAAGGCAACCATCTATTCTATTATTTATGTAACCTGAAACCAAGCCTAATTCTCCATTCCTGGAATCTGCCCGCTTCTTTGGGTTATCAGACACACGAGGCAATCACATACTTCCCACAATTATTTTCAGATATAACTTTATAATATTTGCTTTGCTAGTGATTTAAAGGCATGCAGAATTTCAACAAAACAAGCTATATTAGCTTATCTTCTGCTTATACCTTAAAGAAACTCAAATGTTAAAGATAATTCAAAGAAATTCATGCTGTTGTGAAGTTAATGAAGTCTCCTAAAATTTGTCATTCTTTAAAAAAAAGGACTTGAAATCATTACTTTTGGGAAAAGAGAAAAACTTTGATGCTAGAATAATACATAGCAGCTCACTTTGAAACCAAGGTCCATGTAGTCAAGAGTGATTTGAAGCAGCTTCTCTATAACAAACCATGACAGTAGGAACGATGACTTGTCTTGCATCAATAGAGCACACACATTTTCAAATCAAGAAATTGGTAGCCTAACTTTAGAGGCAATCAGTGGTTTCTAAATGTTCTAAAATCACATGTATATATGAGGTATGTGCCTATATTTTATATACAAGATACATGAATATATATTCATGTACATATGTGTACATAAAATATAAACTTTTTCCAGTAGTGTTTATAATGAGCAGTATTCCTGAAGCTAAATATTTCTACAAACTGATTTCTGAGAAACCAGCCACAGTATCAATTCTGCTTTATGAAAAATCTATTCCTGAGGAATAACTCATGTACTTCTTAAGATATTTCTGGGCCTATGGCAGATCAGTGGGTCAGTACCAGCACCTGAGTGAATCCTAAGTAACCACTTATTCATTGAGAATCTGGCCCATTTTCAATTTAAACGTTTAAATTATTTAGCTTGCTTCAAAGGTCACTCTTGATAGTCCCTGCTAATATTTACAGGTAAAACTATTCTTCACAATAAAGGAGACTATGTAATGAAACCTGATAGTGTAGTCTCTTTCAGTAACAAGTTTTTCCTTCCTTCCTTCTTTCTTTCTCTCTCTTTGTCCAATTATCAACACAACACAATTGGCTTTATTAACTGTTAGAGAATTTGCCAGCTTTCCTGGATGGTTCATATGGCACTCTGAGAATACTGGGCGTTTCTTCCATTACCCTTACAAGGAGGTTGTCGATGTAGTCCTCGAGTTCCCGGATGTGGGTGTCCTTCCTCCTAAGGAGTTCTTTGTGTTTCACCAGCTCTTGTAGAACCTCTTCATAGGTCAGACTACGATACCCTGCAGTGGCATCAAAGGGGTTGCTGTCCTAGAACAAGATAAAGACCGTCACTTTCGTAGATATAACATCTGGGACAAACATTAAGAATTATCCAGAACTTCGACTTTTTGTTTTTTAAACCCTGATGAAGACTTTCGCTAGCCTAGCTTAGAGTGAATGTGACAGTCCACAAATTGGCTAGCCAGTCCTGAGGCAAGAACTAAGGCAAATGCACCAAAGTTTTGACTACAACTCTAAATTCTAAAACCCTTTCTAAAATTGTGGGCAATTTCCTAATATCTGAGACTGGTTATATCATGTAAGATTAAGTTAAGAGATGAAATGTTTTATAATAAATACAACTAAAATAGATGAAAACTAAAGATTTCTGAAAGTCAACTCAGAGGAACTATAAGATGCAACTGAAAACTATACACTTGGACATGCGTCCTTATGAAACTGCTTCCACTGAACTGTGATTTAATGTTACATGTTTGGCTTCTTAGTGAAGATGGTTACAGCAAAAATCTTTTCCAATTTGCTATGAAAATGGAAGCACTCGGAATTAAATCAAAGATTATCCTTATAGGAAGCCCCATGGGAGTAACTTCTGTTTTAACTTAGAAACAGGCAGAACTTTTCCTCCCCTGAGTAACTGGTCTATTTCTTTCCCCTAGTAATAGTATCTAGTTTATCTTCTTTCCCTTTTTGACCCTGGTTATCAGGAAACTCAAGAGTTCAACCATATTAATACTATGGTTAGTATATTTGCATTCTCTCCCATTTCACCTATTTATTTAACTTTATTCTATTGACAAAAATTCCTTTTAGGCAAAGGCATAAATATAACCAAAAAAATTTTTTAAAGATACTTACTAATTCACTGCTATTACAAAGCATTCTAATATTAATGTTATATCAAAAGTGAAAGAAAAATATTTCTCAGGAATTTAATCAAGGCCCTGTAACATCACCTTTTATTGACAGTGTATAGCATTAAGAGTTTTCATTCTGTAAAACATAATGCCCAATTACAACTAAGCAATTTTTTATTCTTTTTAAATCATAGTTCTCTAAGCCCAACAATTTAAAATGATTTTCATCATTATCTTTTAAAACATTTCCATTTGGCTTTAGGAAACTTAACTAAAATATTGAGGAAATTGGTTTTCTTGCTCTTAAGGAATACTATCTATTCAGTGGAGGATGGGGAATGGGGACTGGTGAATGCAGAATGACCTCGCCCGCCATAAGAATTAAACTTGTCTTTCCCTGTTTTCAGGATCTACTTTAATAGTGCTATATGTTTGGGGGTGTTCACCAGTAAAGCCAAAGTTTAACTTTTCACTGGCCCTCCCTACTTCCCCAGCCTCTCAGCCCAAGGAACTAGGACTTTACCAGACCAGAGAAAGAGAAGCTAGAGTACAGATACCAATTTGATGCTTGGGTCACTGAAGTACACGCCCTTCTCCAGGATAAGTGAATACATTCAGGACTGAAAAACTTTTCCAATTTCACAGAATCTCTCAGGCTTTGTGGAGAAGATACAGCTTGCACTAGGCCTTCAAGATTTTGCAGGCAGAAATGCCTAATGGGACATTTCAAGCAGTGAGCTCTGCTTGTTCAAAGAAGGAAACAAGGCTCAAGGCATAGTGGCCAGTAACAGGTAATCCAATAACAGGTACTCTGTAGAGCATGGTTGGAAAATACTGTACAGGACAGGGAGCAGAGAAGGGCTGAAATGGTAGGTTTGAAACAGACCACCAAGGATGCTGAACGGTAGTATAAAGAATTTTTAGACTTTTGCTATGGAAAATAGGAAGCCACTGAAGGTTTCTGAACAGAGAAAGGATATGATTAAAGCTATGTTCCAGGAAAAGTAAAATGGCAACAGTGGAATCATTTGGAGGGGCTAAGATTAGTTATAGGGCTACTGAAATATGAAAGACCAGAGTTAGTAACAATGAAAAGAGAGGATATTAAAGGGAAGTGAGCTTAAATTCTATAAAATATGTCTAAAACAACTTAGTTTATTTTAGCATTAGAAACTGGAAACAGATGTAAGTTTCAGTTATATTTCCTTCATCCCTAAAAACATTTCAAATATTGTTCTAAAACCATTAAAGGACAATTCTAGAGACAAGTGTTTTACTTCTCTCTCCTCTCTCAGATCAATTAATCTTTTATAAGTCTACACACACTCACACACACACACTCTCTCTCTCTCACGCATATAGTTACTAGTTTAATTAGTCATGAGATATAGTTTAGAGATACATAAATAGTAATTAGATTCTTATAAAAGATTATGTTAAGCTGTTTTCTACAGTAAAGACAAGACATAGTATAGAGTTCAGTATACTTTTGAAATTTCTTAAAAATAAGTTAAAGTTTCTTACTTCAACACAAGTAATTTTGCATAAATTTGAGAGAGTAACCTGGGTCTCATTTGCCTTATCTGATAGATGAGATGTTCTCCACGGTCCCTTTCAAATCTAAAATTGTCTGGTATACCAAGTAATTTTTCTAAATCACACTTTAAAAACTAATAAAGTCTAATGTGATTTCACATTTCTAATAAAACATTTACTGAGAAATTCATGTTCTTGTGAGAATTGCAGGGATTAATGAAAGGAAGCTAAATGGGATTCATTACTGATTAGTTGACTGATTTATGCTTTTTCTTTATTTAACATAATGAAAGCATCTATTCAAGTCTCTCTAATCTTCATAAAATTATACATATATAAACTGATTTCTCCAAACTAATTAAGCAATGAAATAGTTAAAAAAAATAATGTGCACCGTAATATTTAACACTATTACCAGTTAATGTAGTTAAAAATTTTTTGTAACATTTCTCTAAAGACACCGAAGATGAAAGATGTGTCAAAAATTTGTTTTGACATAAATTAATGCCATGATATAAATTAATAGTTAAATCTTTCAAAATAATCAATTATTATTTCAGACTACTGGTCATACTTTATAGCCATACTCTAGAATATATAGATATCTTATTTGGATTATTATTTTTTTCCTTACAACAATCTAACATTAATGTGTAGACAGATTTCCTGGAAATACACTTCTGGCCTTTTCAATAAATTTTCTGTTTGTCCTTTTATGTGAAAACTTTACCCCAAATTTTAGCATCAAGTTTCTAGGCAGGAAAACATCTTAGAAACACATGTACTATGAACTATATTCTGGAAAAGAATATAAAATAATTAAAAACAGTTTCATGCTGAGTTCCATATTTTATCCTATATCTGAATGTAAATCTTCTAATTTTAGGCGTAAGATTCTTAAACTGACTGATATACTCCACACACACACACACATATATGTATATATATTTGTTTGTCGATATAACTCCAAATAAAATGATTAATATAAACAATAGAAAATTAAAATATATGCTCTACAAAAATTATTTTTTTAAAGAGGAAAACTCTCAGGTAAATATAAAAATTATTTTTTCAAAATATATGTTTCATTATTCTTGCAAAAACTTACAAAATTCAAAACTCTCTAAGCTGGCAAAGACCAAACGCAACTTAAAATGGTTACTCCAAAGTGCTCAATATTTTTTCTCACAGCACACTCTATACAGACAGCACTTATTTTTTAAGATGTTTTCTTATTCTGAAATTTAATGTAAATTTTTCTTCTCTCTTCCCCTTTTACAACCAACCCTTTCTCATTTCCACCCTACCTCTATTAAAAATGTCTATATGCAGACATAAGAAGATGTGGACTGGTAAGAGAATATTAGAATTACTACATCAAGTTTTCTAACCCAGAATTTTAAATAATACTGTTGTGCATAAGATTTTGAGAACTGCTAGTGATCTATTTTTTGCTTTACACAGTCTAGCCTTTTAAACTAGGAAATGTACATTTTTTACAATATTTAAATTTAAACAAAAGCAAATTATCAGGACTCAAAATAACTGAAGATTTAAAGAAAGGTTGTCCTGGTAACCAAATATTGGTGGGGTACTAACTGACATCCAAGGCAACTAGAGGAGAGGGAGAGAAAAAAGTGAAGGCTTGGCATTCTCTGATCATCTCATTATTGTTCTAATGAGGAACTTTGCTCTGGGAATATCATCTCAGCTACTTTCACATCTTTTGTCCTACTCCCTTCATCTCCCTTTCAGTTCTTAATTAGGCCTTAAAGAGCTCACACTGCCCTTTCAACTGGCCACTGCTCCTGTTTAAACACTGTGCTTTCACAGACAGGTGTTGGCACTAGCATATAAGACATACAAACTTAATTACAAAATACTACGTCCAGAGGGAGAAAAAATAACTTGGTGGATGGCTATTATTGGAGAACTTAATGTAAATTACTTCAAACATCTTATAATCTTCAACATAAAAATTGTTCGAATGCTTTTCTTCAACCATGATCAGTATGAAGATGCGCTTCCTCCTCTTAATTGTATCTTGCAGTAAATTAACAACACCTAGTAATCCTTTAACTGTCATTTAGAATAGTTAGTATTCCAGAGAAAAATAATCACACATCAAGGATTCTTTTATCACCTTTAAATCCTTTAACTAAAACAATTTTCACATTTTATTTCTTTAAAGAATTCTAAGGATGCTTTTACAGCAATAAATTACAAGATTTGGAAAAGTACATTTACAAGCAATCGAAATTGTAATTAAGGTTACTTAATAAACAATAGCTACACGTTAAATCGATTTTTTTGATGTTGCATTTTGTTTGAGATTAAGTAACCGCCTGATAGAATTCATTTTACTATCTGATCAAAGGCTGACTTCATATTTTCTCACATTTCTCGCCAGACTGCCATATTATAAAGACTTGAGAATTTATAAAACATCAAAACTTATGAATCACTTAAATAAAACAGCAAAAATACAGTACAAAGTCCTGTGCTTCTATAACAGTTTCCACAATTTTAAAGATAAACACCTGCATTTAGAATGGTTTAGAAAATAAACCCTAAACCCACCTTAGCTTCTTCTAGCCATGTCACATCCTAAAAAATAGTAATAGGTGATATGGGATTGCCTAAAAAAATTCTTACTATACATCTGGATCACACATATCAAGGACAGATGGTTGAAACAGCAACCACCAGTCTCTTGGAATAAAGGCTCTATTTCTGTTACTCCGTGAGAGTTTAGTTTTCTACCAAGAACATTTGACCATATTTTGGTAAAGTAATTTATTCTCTACGTTTAATATAGTTAGAATTGATTGCAGATGCAATGGAACTCTGAACAGAGATTAAATACTGGACTTCAAATACTACAATAAAGTTCAGATTATCTGAATAATCCTCGCAAAATACGTGAGTTGATTTAGGTGGTCGCTACCAATCCTGTTAACATATTTGGTTTTGTACTGATGAGAAAGATAAGTGTCCTAAAGTATTTGTTCTTTCAAATACTTTCCTGGTTATCTGGCTATCCTGCCAGGATGCTTTTCTATTGTTGAATGTTAACAAGCAGCTTTATTTTTTCTTCAATCCTTGTCCCAACAACAACAAAAAACAGTCTTTTCTACACGCTCTTATTTCATAACCGCAAATTTGACCCTGACATACAGCTTGCATACTAATTTCAAAACAGTCTGTACACAAAATATGTATATTCTAAATTGGCTTCAATTATAACCAATTTTGCTTGAACTTTCATAGATCATACGAGTCACATCCTATTGTATATTAAAGGCAAAGATTATATTTTACTTTCTTTCTCCTAAAATTACTATGCTAAGCTACAATTCTTAAGGTAAGTGAGGCAGAAGGCAAGACGACAAAGGCATTTTTAGAAATGTGTGCCAGATAAAAAGACCGGCTTGTTCTTTGACAACCTTCTCACCCCTTCAGCAACTTACCGGGATTTTCCTGAGGTCTTCATTGCTTGTTGGACTCATATGAAAACTAATAAAACACAAACAAATGTTAAAAGTGTCATAACTCACGTGAGAGGAAACACAAAAATAGAAAAATTTTAACCTAGATTGTAATACAAATTTCTAAAGCCCTACATTATTCAGATGAGTGAAATTTAATCCAAGAAGTAGAAAAAAATCCAGTATTTCCCCAACATTCTTAAAGCATCATTACAATTTTAAACTTTGAAGGAAAACTTTTTAGTTATCAGAACTGAAGAACGAAATATGAAGTTTTTAAACATCTTTAAACACAGCACTTTTATCCAGCAAGATATTTTGTAAAACTAATCTGTGTAACAGATTTCCATTATATTTACACACAGTCACTCACCTTAGGCCCTCTGATATAAAACTAGGGAGAATTAAGTAAATGTAGGTTGGAAAGATTATAGAATAAAAGAGTGAAAGCAATCTGTTTAAAAATGCCAAAAGTGTTAGAAAACTCAGCTTTCAAACATAACCCTATCAATAAGAAAAAATTCAGAATTGTGGGAAACATTTATCTCTTTAATGCAATTTCTAAGTAGCTAGTCTTGAAAATTTAAATACTGAAATGAATCAAAACAACACAGATTTCTTCCACACAAAGAAGAAAACATCACAGCTGAATGCTATAACTATTTTCTTCTTTGAAACACGTCCATTAGATGGGACTGCAACCAAAAAGACGCTAAACTTCAAAGCCATCTGATGAGTAAATATTTCATCGGTGCTATTCAAGTTTAATTTTTACCCAGCACTTAAAGGTATTAGCCTTTAAAACCTTCACAAAGCATTAGTGTCCTAGGAACCTTTTTATTCCACACACAAAACAACAACTGTAAAATATGTATGTTTTCATTATCTGTCCCTTGACAGTAAAATAACTGGGATCCTTTGAAGATTTAAGAAATTTACTTTTAAAACTTTTGATTGTGTGACAAAAAGTCTGGACACTGGATATAATGTTGGTAAAGTATCTGTAATTATGTGTACAAATCCTACGCTCTAAGATGCACAGGGCACACATGCATGTACAACCACCTCCAGAGAGTCTCCCATGTAACCAAGATTTCATTGGCTGTGACTAAGATTTGAAGTACTAGATTCCAGAAGCGATTGCTCGCCTTTTCTAACTAGAACTCCTGTGGATAAATTTAGTATTTCAGCAGAGCTGGGTTGCATGTAGAGAGAGTGAAACATGTTTTAAAAACCTACAATGCACCAGTTAAAGGCCTGTGTGGCTGGCACATTTTCTCAACATCTTTATGGTGTTCTGCATGGTCCTGGACTCAAGTCACTATACCAGCAAAGCATCAAGAGCCCACAAAGAAGTGGCTTAAAAGACAAAAACCAAATCCAAAAAGCATTCTCATGTAGTCCACCTTAGCCTAGAGTGCCATGGTAGCAGCTGCTAACACATGTGGTTTCCATCTTCTCTGATTTTCAATCCAAGGTAGCCAACAGGGGGTCCAGTGGGATTAATCTCTCCTACCCCATTATCTCACAGCATGTTTTCTAATATGTCAAGAAACACATTCTGCTACATCTCCCATCTGACTGGGATATTCTAAAAAACAAAATGATTTACACTCAGGCCTGACAGCACACAAGGTGCTTGCAAGCAGAGAAGTGGCTGGAGCCAGGTGGTGGGAATTCAAGTCCTGTTTCTGCCCTGTGACCTTGAGCAAGTTACTTAACTTTAATTGTGTCTTGGTTCCCTCATCTGTAAAATGGAGATGGCAACAGTATCTACCACATAAGACTTCTGTGAAGATTCAATGAGTTAATCTTCATTGGAAAACACTTAGCACTGTGACTACCAGATAGAACATTGTTTTATTTCATAAATAAAATAATGAAATAAAATAATTATTTCATAAACATTTACACAGCACTTAATGTGTGCCAGACACTGTTCTAAGCACTTTACCAAAATTAACTCATTTAATCTTTATGATCCTTATGGTAGTCTTATGGTCCAGTATCTACCACATCTTCATTTTAAAGGTAAGGAAACAAGTCACAGAGAGGTTAGGGAACTTGCGTGTGGTCATTCTATCAGCAGCTGGTGGAGCTGTCTGGGCTCTAGACTCCGTCCTCCCACGACACACAGCCCTAGCCCCATTCCCTGTATATAGATTTACTTAGTGAGCACTGGCTGCACTGCAGAAGCCCTGAACATATAGGCCACATAGATGAATCAGAGAACAACAATGTTGCATTTTGAGAAGGCACATGGTAGAGATGTACTTGTGGGAAGTGGGGGAGAGCACTCTGGATAATTAAATTTTTAGACCTCATAGAGAAATGAAATGTTCTATCACAGCAATTAGTCAAGGAATGCCTAATTCATGGAAAAAGCAGGATTTAAAATGACATGAAGGATATGTTTGGCAGGCTAGACAAGGAGGGCTCTGCAAACATATGGCGTGGCCTGGGGCTGCCAGACAGTAGCGTCGCTGCAGGACACGGAGTAGACTGGCAGCGAGGCAGCAGGGTCAGCAGGAGCCCATAAAGGTTCTGATGACGTGTTCCTCAGGCCCAATCTGTAGAGCAGGAGGTAATCTTTGGACAATGTTAATCTTTTCTTGTAAATATTTTAACATTTTATATTTGGTGGCATAATCCATCCCATTGCATCCTTGAGATTGAACAGTATTATGACTATATAAATTTCAGTATATGTCTCAGGAAGAAATCAGTGAACCAAGAAACAGAAATACCGGTATTATATTTATTGCAATAAGGGTTTTCAAGGAACAACATTTAGGACAAAGATTTTATGAAACTCACAAAACTAATGATATGTAGTAGCCAACCAGAGTTTATAAAACTAAAATGTAACTCAATGGCTGCTCAAAAATGCCTGAGAATTCCTAAGAATGCTGAAAAAGTCACAACTCTAAGGGGAAGGGTTTGCAGTGCGGCAAGCCCGGCTACTTCTCATTCTACCTGAGTGATCTGAGCCACTCTCTCCAGCTCCCTACAGTGCAGATCTGAGTGAGAGGCTCTTGTACCGGGTATTGTCTGAAGTCTAAAGGCAGAACCCCTTCCTTGTGGTCTGCTTTATATCACACACTGACATGTCAAACACTTGACGAACATAGTCATTCATGGCTGCCTTTTTTGATCTCTCCTTAAGGGGGAAGAAAGAGTTAACTGAACTGGATTGAATTAGCTTGGTGAAAAATAAAATGTCTCTATTTATCGAAGTGTGGCACCAATTTGTGATATCTTTCTCTTTGGACTACCGTCCTCATGTCAGACAAGATATCGAATAATTCAGTCTGACTGCTCAGCCGAGCTGCTGACAGGTTAAGGAAAATGGTGTTTTTAATCAGGTGCAAAATAAACCTAGACACATTCACATTTAAAAAGGAGTCTTTGTAAAATGAAACTACAGAATTTAAACATTTTAAATTAGTATTTTAAAAGTTATTTTAAATAAAATGATTTACCTTAACATTCTGAAGTTTTTACGCAAAAGCATCAATAGTTTTACTTTGTGATATTTCCAAATATTAAATAATTTTCCCTAGTAAACTCTAATTCTAAAATTTGAAATATTTTCAAATATTTCTAGGAATCACTAGTATCTCTTCTACAATATCACTTGTTAATTTACGTCAAAGTTAAAATAATTAAGTAAAGAGATAAGAAGTAAATCAGTGAGGACTTGAAACTGTCCTTTAATTTGTGCTATGGACTAATCTTCTACATATCAGCCAGAAAATAACCCAATCATTACAGCAAAAAACCTGATCACCGCAGTAATCACTATGGCATTTGGCAGTGATCAAAGTGGGTTTTTTTGGTTGGTTTGTTTCTCTTTCTTAAACATATATCTTCTTTTGAAGAATACCTAAGGAGGAGAAACTATTCAGAGTAAAAAGTGTACAGTGCTTGCAAAAATTAAAAAAAAAAAAAACCTACATAAGAACAAAGATCTATTAAAACTGGTTAACAGTGCTTTTACAAGACAATGCAAACTGTAAATTCCCCGTTCTAGGATTTTAAATCTTTCAATGAGAAGTCACATAAAAACAAGCCTTTGATGGGCATTTAAAAGTAAGTATTTTTAGAGTATTTTAGAGTACTATTACACCTTCCACAATAGCTCTTTCCAAACCCCGTTACTGCTGGAATTATAAAGCAAAGTCCATTTTGGTCTACACATTGACTCATTTTGTATTTAAGAAGTGAATTCAAATTAAATGTGAAATCCAGGAGGTGTGCCACCTGGCTGGGAGGAGGGAAGAGGAGGAAGAGGGAAGGGGCAGGACAGGAGTAACTTTCTCAAACGCCAGTCAACTCCTTATTGTGTATGGGAAATAAGTATAACTTCAAACTATCACAAAAGAAGTGACATTAATTATTTTTAAAGGAGTGTGTCCTACTATCTTGTTTAACCCAGTGGGCTCTAGAGACTTGGGGCTTCACTTTCATGACAAAGGTATATCCTGAGAACTGTGACATAATGTAACAAAAATCTTCAGTGAGTCTAAAAGGAGGAAAAGAGAAACACCCCGTGTATTTCATCAGTAACAAAGCATAGAATAACATCCTAAAAGCAACTGTATTTATTAGACTTTAACTATAGTACCTTTCTGGGCACTTTGCATGTTAACTCACTCAATCCTTGTAACAATCCTATGATGCGAGCGCTCTATTTATCTTCATTTACCGATGAGGAAATGGGCACAGAGATGGTAAAGCGCTTATCCAAGGTAACATAGTTAGTAAATGGCCGAGTTAGGACACAAGAAAGGCAGCCCCACCCCACAGTCCAAGCTCTCTAGGCATAAGCTCTACTTCTTCCACAGAGCTGCTCTAAACTGTCAGTTCTACTGTGAGCTCACTGCTGGCTGGTTTCGAGGAGCCCCGTACAATTTCATGAGGCTTCTTCCAATCAGAAATAATGATTCAGAAAAGTCTTAGATTTAGTCTAAAAGAGACAGAATAATGGCTGAAATGCAACAGGTTTGGAAATAACTGTGCTCCCGT